AGTGGTTAGCAAACAATTTTTCAATATATATATATATATATATATATATATATATATGATAGACTTGGCATGTGAGACAGATATATTGGTGCGACTAGTGGTTTAGAGTTAGGCAGATTGTAGGTCAGACAGTAGTTGTTTTCTTTCCAACACAAATACAAGCACTTCACATACAGTGTGAATCTCCGAGTATAAATCAGCCAAGATAATCAGAAGATAACTTAATAACGCTAAAAATCTTACTGATAATGATAATCCTACATAGCTTTTGCTGATTGATTTCTATTACCGTTTTATTTCGCTGAATTTCTGTCACGTTTTCATTACCATATATATGTACACAGAGTTGTATCATTTCACTTTGTTCTAGTTTTGTCCTTTCTTTCTGTGTTGGCGTCTAAGTGTTGAAATGTTTTTATATACTACTAGTTACTCTTATTACGATTGAACAAAATCTCTAGTGAAGCAGTTATATTAAAATACCCATTTCATATTATAAAATTACGAAGCGGGTGTCTATTTTCTCTCTATAACCAATCGCGGCTCTCTTTCACTTATTGTCCTTTTCATTCTTATTTATCTAGGCATTGGGTCAGTTACTCCGGATCCGTCGACATTTCACACCAATAAAGATGGTGTTGTTTATCCTATTGGTAAACCGATTGATTCAAATGTAGCAAATACCACTTTGTGTTATAATGAATACATTGTATACCATGTATCACAAGTGAAACAAAAATATTTAGTTCGAGTGAAATTTCATTACAAATGAACAACAAAAACGAAATTGTTTTTTGTTCACAGCTAAAAATTGTCATCTCAATTACTCTATTTCTTATATCAATCGTTTTGCTCATGGTGTGTGTACGTGTCGTTGATTAATCTCGGTGCGTTTATTACATACAATCAATTTTATTATTCTCCGGTGTCTGAATCATTTCGAGTATTCTTTTCATTTATCTTCTGTTGCATTTAAGACCAACATTATTATTATTTTCATTATTATCATCTATAGAGCTTAACATATATACATTCGTATCATTCATTTGAACTCCTGAGATCATTTCACAGAGTCAATAAATCAATCAAATACGTTCATGCTTTTGGTTGTTTCTTTTTTTATATAAAAAATTCTCTTTATAAGCACTAGTGTTGCGAGGGGAGTAGTTTTGTTGCTCAGTGGACTGATTTTAGTGAAGGTACATTCCGTTCTCTATCTGAACTGACGGAGATTTGAACGTTATAATCGTTTGACACTCGTTTGTAAAATTTACTGCCGAGGACATCCTTTGGCGAATGTATAGCTGTTAACTTGTGGAAACTAGCTTTTTTTCATGAAATTCTCCCATTTTCAAACAACAAGAGAAGCATGTTGAGTTTGTGGTGAACACTTTTTTTAGTTCAGTGAGATGATTTAAATGGAGTTGCACTGTCGTAGGTTAGTGAATAAAATGATGATCACTAGTGTTCCAATGTAGAGAAGAAGAAGAATTAGAACATATACTTATAGTTCGTTTTTCTTTTCTTTCGAGAATTTATCATTCATACCTGACTAATGATTCGCACATGGTACTTGCTAGCTTGAATAAATGGACAAAAGATTGGGATTCAAAATGTTGAGTAAGAGTTATAAATAGACTTTAATGACTTCACAATTAAAAAGTTACTGAAGATGTGAAAATTAGTTGTAGTGAGAAAGTATAATTTTCTTTTCACGTTTTCAAAGTGTAATACGACAATACTTTGACTCCATACACTAAATATAGACTGCATCATATTACACCTGAGTATACGATTTATAACAGCTGAGTGATAATAGACTAGATAGTTATTTATTTTTCATAGTACAATTTTTTTTCAGTCCACACATAGAAGAAAGTTTACAATGAAACCAGTGTAGAAATCAATGGAAAGAAGTTATTCACAATATTTAGCAAAAATTGAGCATTTGTCTTCATTCCCTGCTTAAATCACAATCGCAAGACCATTAAGGGATGTAAACATAACCTTTAGGAAATTCACCAACCTGCTTGAGTGTGAAGATGGTTATCAATGAATGTATTAAATCACAATCAAAATGTAGTTTTCCATTGCAAACGGGCATCAATTCTAACGCCGAAATGCTATTTAAGCATATAGATGAATGAGTTTCGAGCCAGAATCCAATACTCGTTTTCTTAATCCTGATTGATTCTTGCTTAGATTATCATCTGTTTTGTTACTTTGAATGATTTAATAAGCTCCTCATCATCATTACAGCTAACCGAATTCAGCATGTAGAAAATGCTTGTAATACACTTCTTCAGAGATATACACGATGTTCGATAAAGTGACCCAATATACAATTAAAGCAGTTTTGATTTCTTCATTACACACTGAGTTGATCCACATGGTTTGTTTGCAGACTCTGTGTGTGTGTGTGCTATATCCGAACGAAGACTAAAGGTATAGTACCTCCCAGGAACAATTTATGGATGTATTTTAATTTTATAATTACTAAGTAACTAGATTATATATATATATTTCATCATAAGCTCCCGATTTACTCATTAACTACTGTTCTCCATCAGTTAACAGTTTGTTATCCACAGTGTCTCTACTCACAGTCACTTTAATCTTGATCATGAATAATTATTATTTTTCGTTTTATGATATGATCTAGTATGTTTTGTATAGACTACGTCCTCTTGGAATATAATATTCATTCACTGATTTCGGTTACTGGCTGGAGAATTGTGGACCAATAAGGACCTAACGGTCGTCTGTAGGTTATCAGTTGTGGTTGTGTATGTGTAATTGATCAACTCATAGATCTGCGTCAACACCTGAACTAAGGATAGGGAGTGAAGTAGTCGAACGCGTTGACAACTTCACTTATCTTGGAAGTCCGATCAGCCCTAATGGGTTGGTGTCTGACGACATCTCAACACGGATTCGAAAAGCTCGCTTGGCTTTTGCCAACTTACGTCACCTATGGCGGAGGCGAGATATCCGTCTATCAATAAAAGGACGAGTATACTGCGCGGCAGTCCGTTGTGTTTTAATTTACGGCAGCGAAACATGGCCATTAAGAGCAGAAGACACTCGTAAGCTTCTAGTATTTGACCACAGATGCCCTAGAAATATTGCTGGGATCACCGGGTAAGTAATAGTGAGGTTAGACGCAGGGTATTAGGGAATGATGGTAAATCAGTTGATGAGGTTGTTAATCTTCATCGACTGAGATAGTTGGGCCACATGTTGCGTATGCTTGAACACTGATTACAACGACGTGCAATGCTAACCGGTATTGGAGATGGTTGGAAGAGAATTAGGGGCGGCCAAACCAAGTCATTAACTTCTAGTCTGAGCCATGTTGATAGATGCAGACTACTTGGTTGGGGTCCGCGTGACTTTCGTAACCAATGTTTGGAGACTCTTGTTGACATGGCTGAGAATCGATCACAATGGCGTAGGTGTATACACTCTCTATCTTCCCTTAAACTAAGAGATTAAAATCGCTTCATATCTTTCTTTCTATGAACTAATTCTTTTTTCCTGTACTATATCCATCCTTACGTTCAATCTTTCTTTATATATTACCACAACTGGATTAACTAATTTTATGAATCCGGTGTCCATCTTGTTGTGTTAATGAGGTATGGCAACTTGGACCGATGCATATATGTGCCTGGTCCTACGTTGTAGCTGACTGACTGACGTATCCATGTAAGTTACTACATTACTACAAAAATACATGAATTTTGAGGTAATAATAATTTTGATAGTGAAAAAACACTACGCATTGATAATATGATTAGAGCAGAATGAATGAATTTCTGAAGTAAGAAGTAAATGGTCATTTTAAAATTCAAGATCTATGAGAAAACAAAAGACTAATATATCTTTGTCGTCGCGGTCAATCCTGATTTATAACACTCGACGCTTTCCGAATAAAACACGATAATCTCATTGACACCCACTTTGCATCTACAGATATGGTCAAATTCAATAGTTATTGACTTCACGGTATTATGTCATATTTTCACTTGATTGTTTCCTTTCAATCTAATTCTACGTCAATCAACTCCGTTCGTGGTTACCTATCCTAATGATCTCAATCGTTAAGGGTTCGTACTTTCTCACTAACTGATTTAACATCTTTCCTCCTACACACAACATTACTCAATAATCGGTGATTCTAACACACATTGTAGTGTCCCGATAAGAATAATGAGTGGTGATTTTTTGGGATCTATTTATGGACCAATACTGTGCGTATAATTGTTAATTAACTAAACTATTCATATTCATGTCCCTCTAATTATGAGCTTTATTTTGACCTATGAACTATTATTATACGACTTATCATTCTTGAACTATGCCCTGTCTATTACTTACTACCTCCCACATTCATAGCCACATTTGGCTAATTCTTGTACAAATGTTGTTTCATATTTTATGGTACGATGTGGTCTGTCTGGTTGGTACATAAACCCAGTATGCTTGAAATAAATGATTCATATTGCAGAGGCTGATTTTAAGTGGCTGGGCTAGGCAGGAAGCAGGACCGATAAGGACTATAGACTGTTCGTACGGGTTTTATTCGTCATTGGTCCGATCGATAATTCACTGCTCCTGATTGATGGATTTGGACCATAATATACATATACAAGAAACTCGCACAAATTCTCACTCGACTATATCACAACAAGTACTTTATCTGAATAAAATGAATCCTACAAATTTGTGCATCATTTTTTCTTGAAAAAGAAAAGAAAAATCAAAGTTATTCTTTATTCAATGATAATCTGAATGATCCTCCCTTTTTTGCATAAAGATATTTTTTATTATTTATATTTGGCACAAAATGTTATTGTCTTTTTATAAAGAGATTTGTATATAAAAGAAGATAGATGAAGATAGGAGTTTACTTATGGGCTTCTCCCCTTTTTTTCGGTTCAATATGTATATGTATATCGAAGAGGACTCTATGTATATTAAGAAGAACTGATTATTCAATTGCTTTTTGTTGTTTGCAAAAAAAAATTAATGAAAGATCTTTTTTACAAAATATAATAGTAATACTTTACTATTACTGATCAATACTGTTGTTTCTTTTATTTACTTCTTTTTCTTCTTTCTCTTTTGCATTCACATACCAATTTCTATTGTTTGCTATATTATCCATTAGAACTTGTACACCTGGATGTAGAAGTTCAGCCATTGTCTCCCATAATGGATAAACTATGTAATCAATGAAACCAATCTAAGATAAAGAAACCGAATGAAAAAGAACGCTTATTAACATATATGTATATATATATACTTGGGCACCGAATTGATTTGAAACATTCAAGAGGAAGAATGTATTTATAATGTAAATAGCTACTTTATACATTGTTAGCGTTGATTGGATGACTTATTCAATATACAATAAACCGGAGAACCATTTACCGATTTATATTCGATCATTTTAATGTTTGATTATATTTTCTTGAAAAAAGGTTTGGACCAGATTGTCAGGCGAAACGTTGGATTTACTTCAAATTCTTTCGCTGAGATTTTACAAATACATTCTTCCTCTTTAGTATATATATGATTAAAGAATATTTAGTATAGTACACATAAGTGAGTTGCGGGTTCACTTCGCCTTCAGATTCCACATAGTTTGTGTAAGAATGGGTAATCTTTGATGGATAGATATGTAGTTTTAATTGACTAAGTTGGTTAGGATATGTAATATATGTATACCTACATCCCGCCTTCTCCGACGCTTGATTTTAGTTGGTGCAGTAATAAGTGATTGTTGAAATGGATCATATTGGTGTGTATAGACTTATGCGGGCAAGGTTCTCACAATTATAGAAATCTGTTACAATTCTGTGAGTAGATTCACTCCTAACATCGCCATAGATCTTCAGTTTTAAAATTATCTTATAGATTTTTTTAAATTCTACGAATCATACTGTATATACCTGATATCTTCTAGTATAATGAATACTGTTAGTGACTTCTACTACCAGTCTGTCATTTGTCTTAATAATTTCACTTCAATATATTGATATAATGTAGGAACTTGAACTGATGTAAATGTTTACCTAGTTTTGCGTATTTTATGATTGACTGGTGTGCTATGTGGGATAAGTTTAAAAATGTATTAAGACAATTCCGAAGGATTATATTCCACATGTTGAGTCGTGGAAGTTGATTTTCATTAGTGTTTATAAGTTAGTGTTCATGATTTTTTTTTGGAAGATTTCAGTGTATTTTGATCAATGTTGAATGAACTAACTATTCCATTTCCCTTTGACATAGGCACCTGAAATCTAATAGAAGTTTGAATGAATAATTTAAATGTCCGATATTTTGACTCGATTCTACATGTCATTAATAAAAGATGGATTTTATAATTTGTAAAATGTGCTATATAGACTTTTTGAATTGGAAGGAGTAGTCAACTTGTATTTATGAGTAAACATCCTCATATATATGAACTTCAGAAAGTGATACATCTTGCTGATTGAACGCTATATTCGGTTCCTAAGCTCTTCTAGTAATCCCAGGCTAGAACTACACAGTGACTTGAACACGAGAGAAAAGGTGCAAAATATGCAAGAAACACTTTTCTCCGAAGGTTCATTAATGTACAGAAAATATAGGGTTTTTATAGTATTTTAGATATCCTTGGATTTTTGTTGGAGGGATCCAGAAAACTCTTCGAAAAAAGCTAAGAAAGGTTCTGAAAACACTGAGAAGCATCTTATCCAATTTGCATTCACTAGAAGTTGGAAAGTCACATTTTGAGTTTCTGATTGGATGATTACTACACTGCTACAATGCCTAGTAGTATTCTAGAACTTTCGGGAAAAACCAAGGACGTTTAAAATACTATAAGCATCTTATATTTTCTGTACATAAATGAACCTTCGGAGGGAAGTGTTTCTTGCCTATTTTGCACCTTTTCTCTCGTGTTCAAGTCTCTGTGTAGATCTAGCCTGGAGGTTACTAGAAGAGCTTAGGAACCGAATATAGCGTTCAGTTAGCAAGACTTATCAGTTTTCCCGAAAATTCTAGAATGCTACTAAACATAATAGCAGTGTAGTAACCATCCAATCAGAAACTCGAACTGTGACTCTCCAACTTCTAGATATTTCTGGCAAAACGTCTAGTGAATGCTAATTGGATAAGATGCTTTTCAGTTTTTCTAGAGCCTTTCTTAGCTTTTATCGAAGAGTTTTCTGGATTTCTCCAACAGAAAGTCCTTGTTTAAATCTCAGGCAAGTGAACTAAACTCGATATGATGCACTATAATAAGTCAAGTGGTTTATGATTATCATCCAATAGTAAGGAGTTGTTTACAATCAAACTCATTTTATTGGTAATGGTAACAATCATAATTTATGGACGATCTTTGAACGTTACATAAATGCTTTTAAGCGACTTCAATCACTTACTGATAGGTCTATAAATTTGTATGAGAAATTAATGTTTGTGGTTAACAGTTAGCATTTTCCTCACAAACTGACCAGCTGTAATGTTAAAATGTTTCGCTATATGGATGAATGAATTGTCTGTCAAAATCTAATGTTCACTATTTTAGATCTTATTAGTTATAGTTTTACCAGCCTGTTGATTATTTACAACTAAGGTAGTTTCCATTCAGTGGTTTTGGAGATTGTTAAATTTCATTGAGATTATGAACCGATCTAATTTAGAGCATCATTGAAAACTTCAAAATGCTGGTTCAATCTCTATAAGTTCTCACTGGAAATATTCATGTGCCCACTAGTGACTAGATTCGAGTTGAAATTTCCGGAGTTCTAGTACGAAGCCGTGACCAATGAGGATATTCCGTGTCGGGTGTGAAGCAGTTACCCACAGAAGACAATGGAAAATGGTCGCCCATTGTCTTGAAGTGATTGTTTCGTCTGTCTATGATGCATATATCAGTATCTTTATACAGAATGATCATATATAATTTTGATTTTCTGAATAATTTAATTATTTGGAAGAAAACAAGTGACCGTATGATGTGTTCGCTGGTCATTCTGGATAACATCTTCAACGCCTACTTTATGTTGTCCAGGATAACAATGTTGGCTTCACAGTTAAGCTATCTAGCTTAGTGAACTCAACATAATCAAAAGCATCTATCCACCTGAGCTGCAGATCATTCCCATCACTTCGTTATCTAACTTAAAAAAGTCCTTTACAGATTGTGCTTTGCTCTCAGGATAATAAATTTTAGTATCTTGTACCATGTCATGTGCACACGGGATATTCTAGCTGCCGGACAGACTGATCTATTCATTCTTCTTGAGCCACAATTTGACCTTTGTCAATTATTCGCTTATTAACCTTGACTGTTTCCATTTGAGCGTATTTTTGTATTGCTTACCCAACTCATCACATGTCAGTAGCTTATTTTTGTTTGTGACGCTTGGTCAAATCAATTTGACTGACTCGCCTTCTCCTCCTCGCTTCATTTTCCATTATGCCAACAACACTTAGCATCGCTTCCCACACATACGCATGTGCTTGAATCTTACTAATTGAACTCTTAATTCGCCTCTGTACTTGCTCGATCGTGCACATTAGCTTTTCTGCTTGAATTCGCTTAGTGTGGTCTGTGCTATTAAATAATAAACTAGTCCGTGCTTCATGTTGCCTACTGAGTTCATACACTGTTGGAATTTATTTATAATGGTTTTAATTTTTATTAATATAAGAAGCCTTAGGAATTATCTGTAAGCTAATAAACTACAGAGTCATGATAGTATGAAAACAATATAACTAGCTTTCCATAGAAAACCACTGAACTCAACATACTTGGATCAATAAATTGGATATCAGCTCATCGAAATAATTTGAGATTTGGCAGATATAAGCATCACATCAGTACAACAGGATGAAATTAACTAGATAAATATTAAGGTCGTAGATGCAGTGATTATAGTATTACCAGTGATAATAAAAAAACGGTTGAGGTTAAATATCGACATCGTCGAATGTCGGCTAAGTGGTCTATAGGTTGAGTTTGCGCACGAGACCGAAGGTCTTGTTTTAGATTTTCGAGTGTTGAGGATGTGCACTGCTTAAGAGCCCTATACTAGAAAAAAGCGGTCATCCATTATTCTCTATTCTGGCCTCATCAAATAAGTGTACTTGTATCCCAATGATGAAATTCACATTTGGACTTGTACTCGGCATCTTTTACTTCAAAAACCTAATATAATTAACAGTTGAATATCAACAACTTGAAATTATAAACTCTTTTACAGTTTAGAAATGAAAAACAAAAATTATCTCTAATATATAACATATACATAGTAGTAAACAACTTACTTGTGTACTGTAAATGCATGCAGTTTCTCTATCACACATTGGACTAATTTCAATTCCAAATTGTTTTTCTTGATCACCTTGACGAAACATTTCTTCCATAATTCTTGAAACCCATTCTTGATATATTTTTAATGGTTTTGTTGGATTACTTAAATCAGCTGCATGTATTATACATTCTAATATCTATAGATAATTAAAGAGTAGAAATTATGCTGAGAAATGTGTTTAATGAGTATATGAGCTAAGGTTATACAAACGTGATTTTATCAACTTCGGAATACTCCCCTATTTGTGATAAAATATACTTGTTCTATGTGCAGTTCATCAAAATAACCTAAAACGTTATATATATATATAACATTCAATGTTTCATTAACACAAGAAGTCGACAGCCGTTGTTACCTTGAACCATTCTCGCAGAATCCATAGACCTTACTTGAAACACATGGTCCATTTGATGAGAGCCGTTTTCTTCAGTGAGGGGAACTAAAAAATCACCAAACACAGTCAACTAGATGTTCTGTCATTTAAGCCACAAATGCCCTGGTACGGCCGAGAATGGGGAGTCCGCTTTCTCTCTCGAAATGCTCTCACATGGCCACGCGTATATAGATTATACCAGGGGAGTCCTACCCACTGCTTTCTCGTGGCGGTGGTGTTTTTTACGAAATTGAGAGGATGAAAAACGAATGTCTGGCGCTTCGACCGGGTCGATAGATGTGGAGAGTCCACCTAGGGGAGTTGGAAAACCCTGGTTCCAAACCAATGGTGTACATGGGCTACATTACTCTGAAGGAACAATTGGCGTACGAACCAATCGTTGGTCACCGGCTATCATTCAACTTCATTTCCTTACGATGCTCCCCTACCTTGTGGATCAGACCGTTAGGTCGAAGGCTCCAAGTATGCCCCCCCAATAAAACCACCATGTTTCGGTTTGGGCACCCGGAAAGTATCACAACCCGCAAACAAATCAAGTGGATTGTGTGGCGCATATGTATTCGGTGCCCCTTTGTACCAATATTTATGTGTTCAAATAAATAAATAAATCTATCATTTAAGATGGAGATGGCGTTGCAACTTGATCGACTAGAACAACATGATATTGGTTCAGTAATCAAACTATGTAAAATAGTAAACTTGATGGCTTGTCGAATATGTGAAAATACGCCAAGTGGTTTTGATATAATTATAGTTAATGTCATATGAAAGAAATGACACATTGTGTATTACAATAATAATTTACAATTGATAAGCTTTAAAGTAGTGTGAGTCTGTACTAATATTTGTAGACCATATTTGTCACAGAATGATATTATTTCGAGTACTATTGAAAAACCAGTTAGCAATGGAAAGTTGTTTTTTCCTAGAATAGAACTTTATGTACTATTCAACCTTGTCTCCAAAATGCGATCCAGTCAAGGACCACCAGATTTCACATGAATGCTTAATTGATAGATTCTCTGAGTTGGAATTTAACAATATTCTTTTAGCTTCAGTCAAGTCGGGATGTAGAGTGAAAGTCATTAATTTCTATTATGAAACCATAGCTAGAGTTCTGACATATCGTGAGTGGATCAGTCGTCATCAATATTGCATGACTGTTTTAAGATATTGTAAAATGATCAAAGTTGAAATGTCATCAGCATCTTTCTCGATATTATCGAGAATTAACGAAGATATATTTATAAATTCGAAAAAAACGAATTGAGTTAGTTAAAAGTTAAGCGACTGGTATAAATCAGGAGTGTCATTCATTCAACCAGGTACAATTTGACTCAATGTATTTAAAATGTGAACCAACACGGAAATAATTATCTTTCTTTGTATATAACAATTAAATATTTTCAGGAAAATACCTGCATGCGAACACCGCCTGGAGTCCCTCCGGGGGCTGCTGCCCGTCCCAAGCCAGATAAACGAGGAGGGCTGGGCATAGGGTTAGCGACCCTATCCCGTAGAAAACTAACTCGCTAAAGAAACGCTAACCAGAAAAAAATTATTCAAACCAACCTGCATACGAGCTGAATAACTATCCAAATTGATTACATTGCCTTGAAATGCTTTTTGTTTCTCAACAGTTGTTTTTAAATCAGCCAATAATGACATATGTTTACTCATATCAGTGGATAATACCTTTAAATTAAAACAAAATAGTAGTAAAGCAATGTGAAAGATTTTAAAAATGAATATTCGTAAGTTACTAGTATTCAATTATAGGTGTCTTTGAATCATTGCTCAGATATTTGGAATCATCGAGTAGGCAATTCTGATGTTAGACGCAGAGTATTACATAAGTAATTGAGAATTGATTGGCTGGGTAGTGAGTCCTTATTGACTGAGATGATTAGGACGTATGTTGCATTTATCTGTCCACTAATCACCTCGACGAGCAACTATTGACGGTATAGGAGTAGGTTGGAAGAATGTTAGCATAAACCACAAACATAGCATCTGTCTATGATGACACTGACTTTTCCCATTATAATACCATTAAGTAACAGTACCGTTCAGAAACGAAGCAGTTTCTCAACAAACAAGGAGATCAGATGACCGTCTCATTTGATGGTTATAAACAAAGGACAATGATTAAAAAGCTGAGTATAGGCATAGTTTAGGGAATGACCAATTAGGATTGAAGAAATAACCTTGCGCGAAGTTCAGAAATGAGTGACTTATCTTATGTTCATTACATGGTAAAACTGACAGCTTTAAAAATATTAAATACTCAATTTTTTCTATGTAGATTGCATATAACAAACAAATCAACTCTAAATATAAGTATTTCGATGAAATCATTTACTTAAGCCATACACATTTGTCTTTATAGTTATATGGAAAATATATATTTCTATAGAAGAATAGAAAGGATTATATCATAAATTGATTCGAGACTCTTATTATCAAATGAGGTTATTCAATAATCACGAGGTAAATGAAGAATACAAGGCCTCAACATTAGCAATCCACCAAATTAAGCCCAAACTTTACATGCAAAAATAATATATACAACCTCTCATCCTTCCTTGACCTTAATTCTCTTCTGTAGTATATATTAGTCTTGCCTTTTTTGCAGTTATTGTTTTGTAATTTCAAACCGTAATCTGTTATCATTATCCTCTGGCAATTTTTCATGATTATTATTTAATTAGTATTAGGAGTTTTGTGGATATTATAGTAATTTTAATGGTTGAGATCACAAGCCAATTAAAGCTAGACCACCGTGGAAAACCTAGATGCCGGCTCAATGGTCTAGTGGTTAAGCGTTCGCGCTCGAGACTCATAGGTCCTGGGTTCGAATTTCGCGAAGCGGAATCGTAGATGCCCATTGCTGAGGAGTCTCACAATAGAACGAATCGCCCGTCCAGTGCTTCCAGGTTTTCAATAATGGTCTAATATCAATCAATTCATAATCTCAATCAAGAACTTTAAAATCTTTACAACCCTATAATGATAAAAATAATTCAATTGAACAAAATATTAGAAATAAAAGAACTACTACTTACTAAAGCGATTACCATTTTACGAATAATAATTTTTGTTGATTAGTAAAATATTGTGTAAAATCACATTCTTTCTCTGTATTAATCAATTTAAAAGCTACATGTAAATGATGATTTTCCAAGACTGAAATATCATTGTACAATAGAGCTAATTCATGATCTGTGAATCCAGTAGACAAAGATGATAGAAGGAGTAAGTTTTTTTGAAGAAAAAAAGATAAAAAATTTAGATTAACACATTAAGTGGGATGATACAAAACATTCAATATAGTTTATAAAGTTTAATTTAAGTATACTTACTAATCAGTCTGGATCAAGAATTATGCTTGAAGTTGTTAGTGTATAAATAGCAAATCAACATGGTAACTATCAGTCATAGTTATTAAAGAGAAATTTAATAAGATAACCATCGCTTATTACTTATAAGACGTTGGATCACTGAGCAAAACACTCATTTGTGAATGCGAACAATAAATAATTCAAAATATGTTTAAATAAATATGAGATAAAGAGACTTTTCACTGCAATGTTAGTCAAGGGGTTATGTTGGGTAGGTTAAATCTCCAGAACTTACTTGAAAAAGGACCTAATTTTGTAATTTTATCTAGAAAATTTGAATTTCTTTGTTTACGCGCCAAAGCGCTCTTTTCACCTTTATGTCGTATTTCCCACTTGGGAGAATCTTAAATGCTATTTGGTACGTTGTGTCTTTTAGTATGCTATTTTGTGACGGTTTTGTGCTGTATATATACGTTTTGATTTGTGTTGTTTACGGAATATACTTCTTCATTCCAAGCTTGGACTCTCTAGTTAGAGGGGCTGGGACGCATCGAATAGCTAGCTTATTGGTCTTTGATCACCGAATCTTTGTTCCGTTCGCAGATTAAGTGAACTTGTAACCGCTTCAAAACCTAACAGGTTAGGAGTGAGATTGGCTTAGAATTTGTATTTAAGATTGAGAGTAAGGTTCATGGTTAAAAGTGGAATTTAGGGCTGGAGTCATAGGTTATGGGATAAATAAATATACTAATTCTAATTTCTAACTCTGAATCTCAACCTATACGCAACTCAAGGAGGTTGTATAATCATGTAAAATCAATATTATATTCGTTGCAATTTTCGCGTTTTCTGTTATTAAGTAGTCATTTGTATTTGCTGTTTTTTGATTGGCTAAGAGGTGTCGAGGTCTTATGGTCATTTGCTAATGTGATTTGGCTATACCATTGTTAGAATCAATCATAATTAATTACTCAATGTTATGGAGAATGGGATAGTGTTAGTAGTTGCAAGCAAACAGCAAGAAGTCCTGTTTGGTCTAGGCTTTCTGTTAACAACATATACAAATAATTTTAAGAGAATTGACGCTCTTGGTAAAATTTTAATCCAACGTTAATTAGTGTCACTGAGTGGAAAACACTACTATTGAACAACTCCAACAATAAACCTTAGTCCAGGATTTATTGTCGATAACCTTAAACTATCGACTGAAGTGACGATATTGATCCGCTAAGACTAATGACCACTCGATAACTTCATGATAAGCAAACGTCTATGATCAGTAATTTGCACCTTACGCAAGTCTTCTACTTTCATAGACTATGTTTCACAAACAGAGTAATATAGAGAGGACTGCTGAGGATTGTATTCGTCCTATTGCTTGTAGACGGGACAAATACGACATAAGTTTTTATTAAATAGCTAAGTTTTAAATGCATTTTTCTAACTTACTTGTATTTATAAGGTATTGATTTGTTAAACCAGGATGGTCGATATCATGTATAGCACTAGCAAAGAAAATTGCAAACGTTTCAAGATCACTGAAGATATTCTGAGGAAGTGGATAGAAATAAGCCATAGAAAAAGTTTGTTAAAAAGAGATTGGTTTTACTTCATTGACACATGACATGTTAAAGCTACCTTTATCTTTAAAGACTGTAAATAAAATTACTGGAGAAATACTTTGATTACGTAAGTTACAATGGTTCATTATGTCTACTGGCTAACTAAACAGGATATTACAAATAATCTGGACTTCATCATCAGTCATTACACAACGCATTACGTTTAAACGTGCAATCACTAACTGTTTGCATGTATATATGTTGCCATCCAGGAAGTTTAATGTGGACACACGAACCAGACTCAGTGATCAGTGGGCTATTCACGGGTGTCAGCATGCATGTTGTTACTCTGGCGTTATTGTCACTGTGGACACGTTCACCATTTACCAACTGTTCGCACGGTCACCAGACTAGTCGCATATCCGTTGGCCAACGTCCACCTCAAGACCTATGATTGGTGGTTGTGCTTGGTGACACGGCCACGAGGAGAGCCTCGTTCACATACCACAGGACGTGCATTTAGACCTGCATAGTAAAAGCCGCAGGCTAAAGTGATAGGGACATATATGCTTCCAATACACTTACCCAAACTGTTATGAAACAGTGATAAGATTGAGAATTGACTACAGATTCGTAATTAACAAAACCAAATGAATAGATGTACAAAACATTAATATACTTATTGTTATATGTTTGTCTTTCCGACCCAGACAAGGATAAGTAAGCTGAGATTTTGATACCAGGAATAAAATAGACTTCCTTCAATACTATATCACTTCTATAACTTCTCACTAATAGTTTGATCTTGAACATGTGAACACAGGCACATAGCATCCCTAGACTTTCACCCTAACAGCATGTTACCACCTAAAAGGTAGATAAGTTGTTGAATGAGAAAGAGACTATAATAATCAATGTTTATTTCAATTCGATAGTAACTTAACCAAAGATAATAACTGTCTACTATTGAATAACTTTCGCAGTATTCTATTATTGAAAATTATCACCTAACTGTTACCCACATTTTTTGAAATCACTTTTAAATCTCGATTCAGAAAGATTATTTAAGACTTATTGTTTTGCGAAACAGTTTTACGAAGATAACTTTGCAAATCAGTCTTCAAATTGAGCCTATGATCAACAAGATGAGCCTAAACTATTAGAACAGATAGTACCCTTGTTAATTAGATAAAAAAAGGTACTGAACAACACACAACTTAAAATTGATTGATCTCTGAGTATTGGCCAATGTCATATTTGTTTGATCCTTTATAGTTTGTTGAATTCTATGGATCAAATTGCATTGCAACCGTTATTCTAACTGGCTAGATATCTAGTGGACAATGCCTTGATATTAAGTAGTTTGAGGTTGTCGGCAGGAAATCCTGAACCAGGGCCTTGTGTCAGATGACACTCATCAGTATTACATGACTCTAGTCGATAGAATTGATGTTCCCTGTGTGATTTGAACCAGAGTCATTCAGGTCCCCAGTCTGAGTGACTAAATTCATAGAGCTAAGGCGAACTGATCGGTTATTTTCTCTATAAGTATAGAATTCCAACATAGTGTTTATCCACAATGCAAAATCTCAAAGTCTCATTGAGAGCTCATTTTTATTTATACAAATTCAAGTTCGTAAACCTATTTATTTGCACACATACTCAATCGTCTCTCAATAATCAATCACCACAGATCCGTACCGAACCGACTGTCAAGATGTAACAAGGATCTCTATGTATTTTTTTGAAAAACAATATGCAACAGAAACGAGACAAGTGTACTACAGCAACTGATGAAATATTTGCAAGAAAATATTGTCATATCCGATCTAAGACTATAGGTATGATCACTTCCAGGAACAATTTATGGATAATTATTAATATATATATATGATATAATCTAATATGTTTGTGTATAGACTACGTCCTCTTGGAATATAATATTCGTTCATTGATTGTGGTTACTGAGTGGAAAATTGTGAACAAATAAGGACTTGTCAGTTGGTCTAAGGTTACTTGTTCTGGTTGTGTATGTATAATTGGTCAAATCATAGATACTAAGTAATATCAATCAGTATTCTAATTGGTGATTTTCTCATATGCTTTTATTGAGTGGTCACAAGTTATGACAGATATGAATAAAGTACCAAATATAACTTACTTTTAAACTATTACATTGAAATAGTTGATAAGTTGCATGCAACACATCTAAAGCATGAATTGAATTATGAAACGGTGCAGTTGAATTGTATCGTGATTCAATTTGTCTTAAACAGTTCAACATTGTCACCGAAGGTATAGACAATTTTTGTAATATATTAGTTTTCTGTATTAAAATAAAGAAAATATAAATAACATTTTGATAAAAATTAGCAAACCAATTAAGTTTACTGAAAGGAAACAAGAGTGAGTTAGTTAATAAGGATGCATAATACAACATACAGTATGTGAGCAGGTTGAGACTCATCAACAAGACGTATTTGTAATCTCAAACAGAATTATATTTATCGTTGTTGGACTCGCGTCTTTTCATCCAACTCCACAGTCTGAAACTTTAATACTGGATCATTAGAACACGGTCTTATCACCTACAATATAAATATAGTGGTCGATTTAGTTATATGATATTAATTTCAATAGTTGAGATCGTGATTCAGTTGAGGCTAGATCACCATAGGAAACCTGGAAGCACAAGATGATTGTTTCGTTCTATTGTGGGACTCCTCAGCAGTGCGTATCCACGACGCTACCTAGCGGGATTCGAACCCAGGACCTATCAGTCTTGCGTGCGAGCGCTCAACCATTAGACCACTGAGCCGGTCGGCATACAACGGTGTTAATGTCTAGCTTCAACTAATCCACGGCTCAGTGGCCTAATGGTTAGCCGTTTGCGCGCGAGACCGACAGTTCCTGGGTTCGAATCTCGAGGGGGACGGGATAGTGGATGTTCACTGCTGAGGATTCCCACAATAGGAAGAAATGGTCGTCTAGTGCTTCCAGGTTTTCCATGGTGGTCTAGCTTCAATTGAATCATGATTTCAATCATTGAAATTTGTAAAATCTCCACAAAACCCCTTCTGATATTATAAAATATTAATTTTATTGGTAAATGATATCTTTTATACAACATATATCTATTGTAACATGAATATCTAAGTAGCTGTGTTATAAAATTAGAATTTATATATTTAATTTCAATTTCAATGAAAATGCTCATATTACATTTAGGATAGATTTTTATTTATTTAACCAATTCTATGCTATTGATATCTCATATTTCTAAGTCAATTTAGTCTAGAACGTATTTCCCCATTTGATTTTCATTTACAATTTTAGTTCTGTTACTCAAAGATAACATTTCAACTTGAATATCCACATCATATATCGTAATAAGAGAAGAGAATGTGGTTCTTGATAAGTAATTGTCTTATTCCCATTATAAGTCGAACATTTGACAAATAATTCTGTTTATATAATGACAATATTAACTTTAAAACAATGTCTTATTTGATAAATTTCGATAATGTAATAAGAAGACGAAGATTATCAGAACTATGTGATATATTAGCTCAATACATTTCGAACAATCTGGTCATACATATACTTGTTAAGAGCATTTATATATAAAAAAATAAAATGTCAAATAGATGTTTTCGAATAGGGTCCAACAACTTTGTTAGCTATTTAGCCAGATTATGTGTATGTGATCTGCACATTGATAGAATTGGACGTAAAGGAACATTAGGTTTGTGAATTTTAGGTAGTCCATATAAATGAGGGTACTCGGAACCCATAGGTTTTAGAAAATTAAATTCCTCTTTATGAATAATATTCATGCGTAGCAATTTTTCTAGGTTTTAATTTACTCTTCTAGTTTGCTAATACCTCCAAATTCAACATCAGGCATAAATTTACTATCATCACTAAGGATGGATAACATCTTACTTTTATATTCACATTTATTCATGATAACTACGCCTGATTCTTTATCAGGTTCTAGTGATTTAAAATGCTGAGAAGTTAATATGCTTCTCTGCTTCGGTTCAGCATTATGAAATTGGTGTGCTATATCCACTAGTTTAGCTTTACACCAGCTTTGATTATTTAAAGACGTAGGGGTTAGAGTACTTAGTTGATCATATAGATTTTCAAACTGGGCATTTATTTCCAATTCAGACATTTGCGTTATAGGGACCGAGAAATTAAAACCAAGAGAGAGTGTTTCCTTTTCATTAGCAAATAATACAATGGAAGATAAATTAGTGACATACTTTTCAGGATTTACTGGGAATAAATTAACTTGATTAGTAGTAATACAATATTAGCATTCAAAAGGTCAGTTTAGTGTTGTTCAAAGGTCGTCCATAAATCATAGTCTCACCTAAAAGTTCCTATTATTTTACTTATTCATTAGAACCACAATTCATTCACATTAAAAAAAAAATTAAACATTCTGACGGCCTACTATCAACTTCATTACATCTAGTCATCATAAAATAATATTTATTATGAAAGTTTATCTAAGATTTAAAGTTATGAACAATATTTTGACCGAGGTTGTTCTCAATGTTCTCAATTTTATTTAATGTATGTCACCTAGCAATTTAGGTCAGTTTTCGATTCATTTACTGAGTGAGTATTGTATATTAAAGTCCTGCACCCGGGCAGTATCACAGTCCTCACACAAATCAAATGAGATTTGTGTGGCGTATATGTATTTGGTAACCCGTTGTACCAATATCTATGTGTTCAAATAAATGAATAAATAAATCTGTATATTAAAGTGGAATTATGATCAAAGCTTCTGAAGTTATCCTCAACACTTTATTAGAAATTTGTCCAGTGTAACTTAACCAGATATGCCGGATAAAAGAAATACAAATAGAACAGGGTTCAAAAATGAAATCCTTAATGAAATTTACACCATAATACATGGTACTAATTCACTAAATCAACAATAAATGAACTGAAAATATTACATAATACAAAAAATGTTTAGTAAACATTAGAAAATATGGAGAGACTCTAATTTATGGACGACCTTTGAATAAATTCTAAGTGACCTTGAGAAATATCAGCCAATCAACAAACAGTATAGAGTAAAAATATATTATACAAAATCAAGGAAATAAAGTGGATACACTTCTTATACGTGGTTCAGAAACTTGTCAAGGTTAGAAAGAGGTTCAGAGGTACTAAAATCGTAATGCATGAAGTAGAGGAAATCATCCATATTGCTACAGAATAGTCGGCATCTGGAGTCATGATTAAGTCTCAAAAACTTTCAGCCTCGACCACATAGCTTCAATATTGTTTATGTGTACTTCAGTTGTTGAATGCACAGAATGCTACTTGTGGATAACGACAAGATGCACATAACGAAGCTTATGTAGGAGGCTGTACTCTCTCCAATCATCCGTATTTATTGTAGTACCTGGCTGCATCCAGTGTTACTGGTGCTTTTATTATCCAGTTCGTGATAATTGTCATAATTTGCCTTAGTTAAGCATTAAATATGGGGTTTTCATCACGAACTGACATCAGCTATAATGCGAGAAATCTATTTAGCCAAATGGATGAAAGGCTTTGGCGTTAAAACCCGAGATCTATCATCTTATACTTGATTGATTCGTTCACAAATGATAGTCTCGCCGTTTTATTTGTTATAGCTGCTTAATTATCATGTTTTATATAAAATCCCCTGTGAACCGATCGTACGTTAGCATTAAGCACTGAAATTGGCGCCGTAACCTTGAAATCTCTAAAGCGCTTCTGATTGGCTCGTCCATAAATTAGAGTCTCACCGAAAATATTATGATTAATCTCAGTTCAATAATATTTATAAACTTATTATAACTACTTACCATAAATAAATAAAAGCCAAGTGTACTTAAAGGATGATGATTAGAAATTTGATCTAATTTAAATAGATCTGGAGCTAAATTTGATTGATTATTTATGATAAACTTTAAAGAAAAAAAACAAAGAAGAAATTCCATGAAAAGTTTCTGTGTGATAGAAACAAAACAAAAATCTTTTTACTTTTTTTCTCTTTCTTTTTTTATAAAAAAAATGCATTTTGGGACTACAACTCATAGTAAACTCTACGACGTATACTTCGTCCTATTTAGGATTGCACGTGTGTTCCAGTATTGATGTGCACATATTATGACAAAACCGACATCTTGAATTCCACTGACAGCAATGATCTAAACTTTCATAACGAAAATATTAAATTTTCTTTAATTCTACGTTGGACGCATGATACTAAATTAATAGATCATTAGACTAGGAGCTAGATCCCATAACAAACTCGACTCAGTTGTTTTATCAACCATCAAGAAATAGACATATTTTAGAATACTAATTTGTTGATATCTGTACAAAGAGGTTAGTAAAGGAACACACAAGATAACTTATGTATATTAAGTTCAGGAGGATAAGTCTGTCTTCACTCACTTACTGATCACGACTTAATTTCACCAAACGTACGACAGGTATACTAAGACTTATGATGAAAATACAATGTCAAGGCAGTTTACTAAAAAAAATGAACATATGATTAATCGCTTATTATTCTGGTATGGTGTATGCTACTGATATCAACAGATATAAGTAGTATATGTCACCAATCGAATGTGACATATCTGACGGCAGAACGTTAAGAAGATCGAAGGAGAAAGAACGAGAATAGAGAATTATTGATATGGAAACGAAGGAACAATCAAGTCTGAGACAATTGATTGACATTTTGCAAATAAAGTATTTACTGCACGGTTCTCAGATTTTAGTAAGAGATTCTGTAATAGTGTATTGAAATACATTCGGTTGTCCCTGCCGGTATTCTCATTCATTATACTGGAACTCGACAGCGAGAAAATGAAGAATTCCTAATGTATAGTAAATCTGATTCTTATCATATTTCCAAGAAATCTATTCAGATCTTTAAATAAGATTCGAATTTATATCAAATTCTCACTGAAGATCTTATTTTAATTGAAATGATCCATTAGTCATTTATTAAAAAATAACTGATTTAAGCAAGACAGAAAAATTCTCATATAAATCCTGCTAGCGGGATCGTGGATGTGCATTGCTGAGGAGTCCCACAATAGGACAAAACGGCCGTTCAGTGCTTCTAGGTTTTCAATGGGTGTCTAACATTAATCGGTTCATGATCTCAATCAAAATTATTTGGTTTATGTTATTTATACATTCTCTCAATTGTAAGCTTTCATTTAACTTTTGAACTGTTCAAATATAATTTACTATATAAAAACCATCATTAATTATATTCCTATTACTTAGTTGTGTATCACATATGACTGAGTTATGTACAAATTGTCATTTCTTATTTCTAGTACTTTAAGATAATATAATTAAGGTATGGAATGTAATTAGTTTTTGAGTTCTAGAACAATGCAATAAGAGAATGTTAATCAATTTGTAGCCACTGTCTCCTAATTGGTCATTGAAAAGATTATTATTATTTATTTATTATTTGAACACATAAATACTGGTACAAGGGGGCACCAGACAAATATGCGCCACACAAATCTCATTTGATATGTGTGAGGGCTGTGATATTGCCCAGGTGCCCAAACCGTAACAGGTGGTTTTCTTAGGGGGCCACACCCGGAGCCTTCGACCTAAGGTCTGATCCACAAGGCAGTGGAGCATCGTGTGGCGATGCAGTCCCATGGTAGCCGGTGACCAACGATTGGTTCATACGCCATACTCTCCGTGTCTACCAACTTGGTTAATGCACAGCACATTCGCTTTTCGTTCTGTCAATTTCGTAAACAACACCCCGACTACGAGAAAGCAGTGAGTAGGACTTCCCTGGCAGATGCTATATACGCGTGGCCATGTGAGAGCATTTCGAGAGAGAGAGTGGACTCTCCCCACTCTTGGCCGTACCACGGCATTTGGGCGAATCAATAGCCGTTTGGATATATAATCAGTATTGGTGACCATTTATTTTAATGAACAAAGTTATTATTAGTTAGATTGATGTAAATTTCTCTTCTCATAAGTGAGTTCTATCTTCTTGGGATCTTATTTAGTGGGGATATGGTTATGAGTTTTAACATGTAATTTTAAAAAAAGTTTTTTGGACCTACATTTTCCACTATTGAATTATCAAAATGTTCAATATTTAGTGTAATTAACTTTAATGTAGTAGATATTACATCTGTATCATTGAATTGTGTAGATGAGATAGATCTTAGTTCAGAAATTTGATCAGTTGTAGATTCAGTTGTTTCACTAGATTCATCTATTGTTTTTTCATATTTATCATTGAATCGAAGTTTTGATTTTGGACTATTCAAATGAATAGTTTTTTCTGTTGATAGATTATATGATGATGTATTTCTGGAGTTGTTCTCATCATTATTATTATTATTATTATTATCATCATCATCGTTATCTTCATGATTATTGTCAACATCATCATCATCATCTTCTTCTTCAAGAAATGTTTTACAAATGTATTCACAAACTTGTGATCTACAACTTCTAAATTGTTGTTTACGTTTTTGCATTTGACTAATATTTGACTTATTATTATTATTATTACTATCTTGATCATGTAATAGTAGAGAGGAGCTTTTAAAGTTGAATCATCAAAACGAACATTGTAAGATGTTGTGGTTGATTTTTTGATTGAATCTTTCTTAACAGTTTTATCATTTGATTCATTAAATGAAGCGGCCAACTCTTGACTAAGAAGACTACGTAACTAAATCAATAATAGAAAAAATGTACAAAAACCAAATTTAATATACAGTCATTTTCAAATGGGTCGATACGTAATCCGTGTCGGATAGAGACAGGTATCTACTTCAGTAAAATGGATGATGGTCGCGCAATTTCGTGGATTGTTTGAGGCTAGACATTAACTGTATTGGATGCTGACTGGCACAGTGGTCTGGAGGTTAAGCGTTCGCGCGCGAAACTGAAAGCCTTGGGTTCGAATTCCGCGTACAGGGTCGTGGACACGCAGTGCTGAGGAGTCTCACAATAGGTCGAAACGGTCTTAAGGTGCTCCTAGGTTTTCAACAGTGGTCTAACATCAATCGGTTCATGATCTCAATCAAAAACATAATTATTGATTGGTTTTTAGTGAAAATATTATTGATTTTAAAGAAATTTATTCACATGTATATTCAAAATATGTTTGTTTACTCAATTAGTTTTCTGTAATTAGAAAAGTATTTCTAAGAGTATTTTGTAGAGGGTGATTCAATTTACAGGTTGTATTTATTGCAGATTGATATCAGTTAGTGTAAGATTAAAAACCATGAAGGATTGGATAATTATTTTATCCTAGTATGTTACTCCATAGAAGTACACGCATGACTTTACTGGAGCTGGGATCAAGCACCTTCATTTTTCGTTGAAAATGTTCAATCATCAGAGCTACTATGCTGTGTTCAAATGGTACAGTTTCAACTTCAATCAATATACGATATGGTGTGACGATCATCTAATCCGATTTCTGACAACTTTTTGAATCCTGACATTTCTGAACTTCACCAGTCAAGATTTATCATTTAATATCTGAAGCACCTTGAAGTAACTCACTAGTAACCTGAATATTACAGTTTGTTTGAAGAGGAATTACAGAGATTGATTTAATTTATAGATAGTGCTATTCGCAAAATTCCAGGTACTAGTGATATAAAATCATCCTTGAATTTACGAAGAAGAATAAGACATTTCAAGTAAACTAAGAACAATTAGTGACTACTTTCAAAGTTTTAAAGAAAATTATGAGCCCTAGCGGTTGACTTGAAAATAATGGTATGACCGTTGATGCATTATACTGACTCGTCCCATACTGGGACAAAGCAGTTATCCAGTGCTCTCCGGTTTCAAATGATGTATCAACTTAGATCCATTTTCGGCGAATGCATTCTACAAATCAAACTATTGTAAATGAGTAATAATAAACTTCATAAACATTGGTCAATGAGGTAATATGTTGTGCTAGTCCCTGTGATCATTATCATTATTCCAGTTTCCAAATATTAAACAAAGTTTCTTCAAAAGATTTTAATCAACCTTATCATAAATCGATTAATATTTCCTTAGTAGAATGAATCATCCTCAAAATTACTTCAGTGATATGCTGAGGCGATTTTTAAAGTGAGTATTTTTCGTTCATTCATTCATTTATGTAAGGGAAACTCATGAAATATTTTATTATCAGAAAAGGGTTTTTGCGGATATTATAGTAATTTAGTAGTTTAATTCATGAGTCAATTGAAGCTAGACCACCATGGAAAACTCGGAAGCACTAGACGGCAGTTTGTATCCACGATCCCGCCTCGCCACATTCGAACGCAGGACCTATCAGTCTCGCGTGTGAGCGTTTAACCACTAGACCACTGAGCCGACATTCAACGGTGTCACTGTCTGACTTCAATCAGTCCAGGCGGAATCGTAGATGAGCACTGGTGTAAAGTCCCACAACAGAATGAAATGGTAAGTCTTTATATTCACAAGAAATTTGTAACACTTTTGTCTCTCTCTCTTGGTCTTAATAAATGATTTTATTTATTATTATTATTCATACTCTTTCTTCCTTTATTTTTATTCAACCCCTCCCACCCTTTTCTTTTCTCAAATATACGCTTCACGGTCTAATTATCCGAATAATTCTTATTACGTAATCCTATAATTCTTATGAATGCTATGTCAGTGTCTATATTTTTTTCTTATCATCGATTTAAGCTTTTATTACTCTTATCACAACTAGTACGCCTGTCATCACACTATCAATCTGTTATATAATATACCTTTGTTGGCCAGGGTAATTTTACATTGGTTTTCAGGAGAACCAGACACCATCCAAACTTTCACATGACAACCCAAACAGTACAGCTCAATCCCGTTTAAAAGGAGAGCCAGACACCACCCAGGCTTACATTTTATAACCCAAGCAGTACAGCTCAATCCCGCTTGACAGGAGAACCAGACCGTATAAGCTTTATCGCTACAATCTGAATAGTACAGCTCAATCCTGTGGCGCAACCACATAGGTAACAAGCACCCTGGTGGACCATTCTCACCATTCATATACATATTCACGTCACATGCATAGTTATTCCTATGAATGATCGTGTGAACCAAGTATGCACAGCACGAACAAGCTGAACTTGACCTATTCCGCTTACACGACAGTCAAACTCATTGATGTTAGTAAAGGCGACATGCCTTTTAATGTCCCAATGGCAATGACCTTGAGAACACTGAAAAGCAACCACCAGTATTAATGAAATCGGTTAACCAGCAAACCAATTTTGTTCATGAACAGTCAGCAAAATTTGCCGAAGTAATGCTGAACTATCCAAAATATCAATGGCAAACCTCCAGTCTCATGGGAGACCTTCAGTTCACTAAATCATATACTGCTTTGATTGGTTTAATAATTTTGTATATACATATAAATATTACTGCATATTAGAGTAAAGCCTGATGAGGATCTAATCGAAAACAACATTGTTCTCTTTTATCTATGTTGTTTCAATTCACAATATGAGAATTTTAGAAAATGATAATTCGGATATATTTATTTGAAAAGAATATATTTCATCCATATATCTGTATTTTAATATGATGGGAATCTTCAGCAAATAGAATGTTATGATCAACCAATTATAGACCAGATTGTATAGCGCATGTATAGAGCAAATGCATTACATTTTTCAGATCAACTCCGTCTTCTCATTGCTCTATCAAAATTACAGATGGGTTTTTGTGGAGATTGTAGTAATTTCAATGGTTAAGATCATGAGTCAGTTGAAGCCAGACCATCATGGAAAACCTGGAAACACTGGACGGCCGTTTCATCCTATTGTGAGACTCAGTGGTCTAGTGGTTAAGTGCTCGGGCGCGAAACACGTAGGCCCTGGGTTCGGATCTCGCAGGAGGCGAGGTCATGGATGCGCACTGCTGAGAAATCCCACAATGGGACGAAACGGCCGTCCAGTGTTTCCAGGTTTTCCATGGTGGTCTAGCTTCAACTGACTCATGATCTTAACCATTGAAATTACAGATCTATTAAGATCATTTTTTTTAAAAACAACAAATAATCGTTCTTACTCTAATATATTAATATGTAATACAGCCTTAGATGATTGGTTAAAACCCCTTAAAAATAAAAGAAATTGTCAAATCCAGACATTGAATTTACATATGTAACATGAAATTCGTCGATAATCTGATCGAAATTTGATAATTATTCATTGCCAGCTTCACCTAATTTATCTTAATCTTAAACCATTCATGAAAGTTTTTCCTTAACCAGGTAATTAAGTACCGACAAAAAAGGTTCAATATTTAAACTGATGATCAGATATTCAATAAATCATCAAGAAACTTGATTATCTTGAATTCGATCCCTGGAAAAGTTGTAGGTAATTTAAAACTATGGAAATCTCAAATTAGTACAAAACAGTTATTCATTCTTGTATGTTAAAAGCATTCTTTAATGTGAAATTTCTAATCTACAGTAAATTCTAAATAAGGGGTTTTGTGGAGATTTTAACCATTTCAATAGTTGAAATTATGAGCCAATTGAAGCTAGACTATCATAAAAAACCTGGAAGCACTAGACGGTCATTTCGTTCTGTTGTGAGACTCCTCAGCAGTGCGCATCCAAGAAGTTAGACATTAACACCGTTGAATGCCGGCCACCTCAGTGGTCTAATGGTTAAGCGCTCGCGCGTGAGACTGGTAGGTCCTGGGCTTGAATCTCGCGGTGGGCGGGATCGTGGATTCGCACTACTGAGGAGTCTCACAATCGGACTAAATGACTGTCCTGTGTTTCCAGGTTTTTCATGGTTGTCTAGCTTTAATTGACTCATGATCTCAACTATTGAAATTCTAAATAAGTTGAAAGTACAAAAATTCTCTTACATCATTATCAGATAATATATACATATGAATAACTTACTTTCATCCGTGTTAAACTGCTTACAGAACGTTTACATTGTAAACTGTCCAATACTTCCAAACACCAATCAAATTCATTTAATAATTGATTCACATAATGTACATCAAACTGATGTAGACAATCTAATTTTATTTAACAATAAAATAAAAATTAACACTATGAATAGACTTTTAATGGATCCAAGTTTTTGTTGTGTGTATGTGTGCTTGTGCATATGTATGTGTGGGTAAGTGGAGTAAATGAGTTATCAAGCGGATGATTTATTGAGTAAATTACTTATTTTTAGGTAGTATTCATCACAAACTGATCTCATTCAAGGTACCTTAAGAAATCAAGAAGCATTTAATAGTTGTTTCTTCTATAATATAAGATTCTTCACTAGTGTATACATATGACCATGTCAATAGTACAAACTAGGACATGGAGTTCACGGGATAAATGATAGTTTTTGCAGGAACTTCATGAGAAATAAATTTGTGATGAATATAACTTGCAAATTAAACCGATCTCCACAAAATCTTTTCAATTAAATTGTTTCATATTGACAAAGTTATTACTGAACACAAGCAAAAAGATCATTTCTTAACCTTTCTTATTAATCATTATTCAAAAATAACGAAGACCACAACATGAGTTCAATATGTTTCTTAAGTTCTAGAGAAAGAATTCATGACTGTTAGACTTCAGTTATATCAGTATTGAGTCTTCATAAACTGTATTGGATGATTGTCGTACTATATTACGAATTAATGAAAGTTGAAATAGTAGTTTTGATGGTTAAAATCCTGTGTTCAATCCTTACCATGGTTGTGGCTGTATACTAATAAAGAGCCCGATCCTGTGACGAAGCCAAATATTCAGTGGTATATCAGTTGAGATCAATCTGTGTTGAATACAGCCTATAGATTGAAATTAATTAACATAGTTCACTTTCTCACGCAAACACACTAAACTAGTTATCCTTTATCGTTGACCTTGATATGTTTTATTAAGGATCTCCATCGTGAAAATTAGAATGACATATACCACTGAACAGCATTGTTACCAACTAGACTTTTATTAACCTTGACTCTAATATTCATTATTATTTATATGCATATATGAAAATTAGCAAACCAATCAAAGGAGTTTATGAATTAGCGACAAAAACGAAATAGATTGCATGATCAAACAGTACAAATTGATAGTGTGCTAACAGGTATATATCTACATGTATCTAGAAGTCCAGTTTTCCCTGTCGAGAAAGCTATATCTGACGTAGAATCAGTCAACTCACCCAACGAGTTACTGAACATTTCACTTCGTGATTGAGAAATGGCATGACCAAAACAATACATAGTTTCATTCTGTCACACATGGCCGATACACGCCATGTAGTAGATGGAAACAAATCATTTTGCCCACGCGGTTCTATATTACCTTGTACATATAGCGAAAGCTATGGGAATTTAAGCTCTTACAACAAGTCTCTGTATTCCTGAGAAATTTCTAAAGTTCTTATCTCTTTGTTGTCTGAATTAGGTTTGACAAACAACTTTACTTATTATTATTATTATTATCTTTGGCAGTGAAACCCGACCATAGGCCTCTTCAAGGAGCTTCCGGACAGTAGGTACAGCCGGACTGATCACCCACTCTGTTGTATCTTCATCAACTCAGGTTCTAACTCGAGGCTCACTTAACCGCACCGAGTCACCTGGTGTGTATGCTTATGTATAAGAATTTTAGAAGTCCTCGGGCATTTGCAATCCATGTATGTAAGTATATGCAAATGGTGTACGTGTGGTGTCGTACAAAGGAAACGTTAGCTGAAATATTGTCTGCCGTATGTCTAATAAAATCAGTTGCCCAGTCTATCAGACCAGAGACATAATGAGAAGATATGGTAGCAAACACTAGGGTGAGGTGACCAACAATCTCACCTGAGAGAATGCTCTTGCTTATATGTGTCAGGAAGTACTATGGCGGTAGCTATGTGCTGACTGATATGCATGTAATGTGTAATAAACAGTCTAGTGTGGCAAATATGTTTCCAAGGGAGTGGTGAACATCTACCCTCCCAGGTGGGTGAATATACTATGCTATGGGATGCATGGAATAAAACCTATGTGTTACCGGTGTGCATATAACATATATTTACTCACAGAGTAGGTATACCTGTATATATACCAAGGAATACTCTGATGAAAGTTCGTCTGTTACCTATTATGCATGTATACTAAACCTATCCAGGGTAAGTAATAACAAAAAATTCTTTACTTGCTTTTATTATGATACCAAGATACACGTAAAGCCCTGCGAGGCCTTGATCCCCACAAAATCACATCCATATGGTGGGTTTGTGAGCCTTGAAAATACGGAACCCACTCCAGAAGGGTCTACATGACCTTCACCAGAAAAGACTTTACCAACCGATCCGGCTGGAACACACCACTAGTATTATTTTCCATAGCCTTAGTTTGTTTATTTTTCTTATCAAGATCAGAAGAGAAACATAAAGTAAATTTACAAACAACGACCACACAATTATGTGTAACAATCAACAGTCAACAGAATAAGATATTAGTCAATTGTGAAGAAATTGTAGTTTCTCACTTATGTTTGAAGTACATGCTGATGATGATGTCGTTCAGAAGAACAGTGGGAACTTCACAACCAAACCCTTCAGCTTACAGACCACAACACCTCCAACATCCTCATCTTGAGTTAAAAATATACTCCATCACCTTAGTTTATTAAACTTAAGGTCAACAAAGCTAAGAAAAATTGTATGAAGATATTTCGCTTGGCTATTGCTTCTGTAGTCCGACGAATACTGTACAAGATTTATTTTGACAGGCTGGACACTACATTGTGTTAACATTTATGGAATCTAGCTAACATCCCCTAATACATAGGATTGTAGAGATCTATTGAATTTTGTAGGTTCACATCACAGATTGACCTTAGTTAAATAACCATTGAAAAACTAGAAATCACTGGATAATTGTTTCGTTTTCGTGAAAGACTCCTCATCACTACCTATACACAACCCCACTAGTGATGGAAGCCAGAACACTGAAATCATGAGGAGAGCCATTAATATTTTATTAAATGAAGGCTAAATCATCTTTTCTGGAAAATCATGGCGTCTTTGTTCTTTTCTTTCAAATAAATAAAAAAAACAGAATTACCTAAACATGTAACTTACTAACATATTTTTCATCACAACCAACTGACTTCGTGTTAAACATATTAGGATCATGTGGAGAATAAGAGGGAGAGCTGAAATAAAGAAGCAGAATAAAGGAGGTTTGATTTTGAAACTAGTATTGATTTCGTAATAGATGAAATCATCTGGGATGTGTTGATAGCTATTACATAAATTTGGAGCTAATCATCAACATAAACTGATATCAATTGAAAAGTGGATGATTAACAAATGGAATTGAATAACTAGGATCAGTCAGTAATGTACTCTTATAATCACTTAACTGTTCCACCAGTGAAGCTTTGAATTCAAATTAAATTGGCAAGAAGCATTTGAAGTTGGAATCAATAATTCAGGTCAATAAGGCAGAAATTTTCTACTTTAAATTTTTATTCATCCTGTTACATGTTGGTCAGCACAAGTTCATAATATATTGTCAACTTAAGTCCGTTTTGATTGTCATACTAAGATTCCTCAATCATATCACTAATGATTCACATTTCAAGTTCTGTCACTTTGTGAGATCATAAGAGAAAATCGAGTCAAAATCATGACAGTTAAGCCTGAATCACACTGCTGTTAATTGTACTGTTTCCTGAATTGACTAAAAAAAGGGTAATATGAAGTACAGAATTTCGGCATAGTAGTTTGACATGGTCATATTTTCTGCCAATCGTCGAGCATTAGATAAAAAAAGAGTTCATTCATAAACGAACTTCTAAATAGTTATCTGTTGAAGTGGTAAAGCTAGATATCCCCAATGAGACTAACTACCACCTACCCCGGAGTCCAATGACAGCTGGAAAAGGAGTAAGTTAGTGTTGTAACGTGTGGACTGCAGGTTTTGGTAAGCAGCGTTTTATTGATCGATTACAGTGACACGGAAAACACGTAAGGACGACCTAGTGTCCCGATTGGTCCCGCTTCCCTGTCTAGCCCAGCCAGTTGAGTCTAGAACGCAAGTCACAGCCTCTGAGCTATGAATCATTGTATTTCAAACATACTCTATTTATATACTAACCAAACAAACTACATCGTACCATAAAATAGAAAACAACATTTACACAATATTTAACAAGTGAAACAAACATCGACCGATGGGAAATGTCCATTTAACGTTCAAGGACACCATTCGACTTAACACGATAATTATTGGCATATTCCTCTGCATACCTAGCAGTGAGAATAACTCTAAAGACAGCAAATGAAAATATGTAGACGTACATGTAGGACGTACATGAAGAACAGTCTGTAGACTTTAAAGTCGACAAGACAAACCGTTAGTTATATGTGAAGAAATTCTTATAATTCCTGTCTGAAGTACATAGTCCTGATGACAAACATATTGTCCAGTGACAATTTCGCCGTTAAATCATGTTACTTAAACAACTCAATTTCAAAAATGATTCTCTTAGGCTACAAATGTTTACCATCATTTTCTATCATCTATTTAAACTTAGTTTGTATGTCAACCCTAATTATCCATTCTATTTTTCAACTGTGCTTTATTTTCTCTTGTTCAATCTTGCATTACTGTTAGTGATATTAAGTTTCCATTTATTTGGGTTTTTTTATCTTAGGTAATTTCCTCTTTCATTATGTTAATATAATATACTTGATTGAGATCATAAATTGATCGACATTAGCTCACCATTAAAAGCCTGAAAACACTGAACAGCTACTTCGTCCTAGTATGATAGTGGTCTAATATAAATCAATTCATGATCTCAATCAAAAACTTAACAATATCCACAATCTAATACTGTTAATATCATGTAGATCAATTTGAAATGATAAATATTTTTATCAAATCTTATTTCAGTTATAACCAATTGACCAATTCATCGTAATATTAGAAGGGGTTTTGCGGAAATTTTAGAAATTTCACTGATTGAAATCATGAGTCAATTAAAGCTAGATCACCATGGAAAACCTGGAAGCATTAGACAGCCGTTTTGTCCTAGTATGGGACTCCTCAGCAGTGCGCACCCACGACCTAGCCTCATGGGATTCGAACACAGGACCTGTCAGTCTCGCGCACGATTGCTTGGCCTCTAGACCACTGAGCTGGCCGGCATTCAACGGTGTTTATGTCTAACTTCAACTAATCCACGAAAATGAGCGACACATTTACCATTGTCTTCAGTCAGTTACTATCTCACAACAGACCCGATTGAACTCCACTGGTCACTACTTCTCACTAGAACTCCAGGATATACCTATTGAAGCCAGTCACTAATGAGCATATGTTGATGAGTATCAGAATAGGTTTTGTGGATACTATAGTAATTTAACAGTTGAATTCATGAGTCAATTGAAGCTAGATCACAATGGAAAACCCGGAAGCGGTGGACGGCCGTTTCATTCTGTTGTGGTACTTTACACCAGTGATCATCTACGATCCCGCCTGGATTGATTGAAATCTGACAGTAACATCGTTGAATGTCGGCTCATTGGTCTAGTGGTTAAACGCTCGCGCGCGAGACTGATAGGTCTTGGGTTCGAATATCACAAGGCGGGATCGTGGATGCGCACTCCCGTGGAGTTCCATAGTAGGATGAAACGGCCGTCTAGTATTTCCAGGTTTTCTATGGTTGTCTAGCTCCAATTGACTCATAATTTCAATCAGTGAAATTCATCTTAAAACAAAATCTTATAAACAGTTCACCGTTATTCCTCATTTTTTGAATAATAATAAAGAAAAATTAACAACAATAACTCACTTTGAAGTATAATTAGATAAGAAATCTCGTGCACGATTTAGAATAGTTAAAATTTGAGCAAAAGGAGTTATTAATACACTGGGTTCACTAAGAAAAAAAAGGGAAAGAAGAGAATAACAATGAACGATAGTAGATAATAATCTTATTCATTGAATATATTATTAGTTTAATTTAGTTTTGATCATGGTATAATTTACTATTTTTTAAAAAGTAGTATTTATTTCTATAATGACATATGTATAAATACCTGTAAAATAAGTATCCAACATATAATGTTGATCAATGATTGTTTAGAATAGATCGGTTATTGATCTTAATAAAATTCAGTTATCTCCATAACTTTCATACTGAAAATTTTATTTATTTATTTGTTACAAGGGGGCACCAGATATATATATGCGCCACACAATAATAGTTGATCAATCAGTCAATCAGCTACAACGTAGGATTAAGCATATATATGTGCGTCAGTCCAAGTCGCAATACCGCATTAGCACAGCAAGATGAACACCGGATTCATAGTAGTTAAGTCTATGGTGGTAATATATAAAGGAAAGATTGCATATAAGAATATAGTACAGGAAGAAAGAATTAGTTCGTAGAAAGAATGACATGAAGCAATTTTAATCTTAAAGCATAAGGTAAGACAGAGAGTGTATACACCTGCACGATAATAATGAGAATGGGAAGAGATAAAGAATGTTAGTTGAGTGTAAAAAGAAAGAAAGAATAATAACGACCACAAATTAGTGTATGGTAATGAAGTAATAATAATAGTACTGGGGGAAACAGGAAGTTACAATCAGAAAGAATTCTTTCAGTTAAAGAAGGTACGGTCACTTTTTATAAAGAAAGTAAAAGAGGGTTACAGAGGGATCGCCACTGGCTCCTATTCTGAGCCATATCTGATAACGTCTCTAGCCACCGTGTTACACCATCTCTAGGACCCCAACCAGGGAGTCGTGAAGGACTGACAGAAGCCAGTCCTGTGCAGCTTCTTTTCATATCATGACACCACGTCATACATTAATCACCTCTCCGCTTTTTCCAACCAGTCTCAGTGTCGGCAAATAATGTACGACGAGGAATTTTCTGGGACGATACTCGTAGAACTTGTCCGAGCCACCGAAGTCGGTGTTTCAAGATGGTGACACCAATTGAATTGTCGTCGATGTGGAACCTCTGCATTACTAACATGGTATTGACACTGGATGTCAGCAATCTTTCGGAGACAACGACGATCAAACACAGAGAGTCGTCTAACATCCATACTGAAAACCTAACTTGTTTGTGGTAAGGGAATATTATGTACTACTGTTATATGATCATGTTCAATGATACTACTTGATCATTTGAAGTAAAATAGGCAAATGAAACGAATGCAAATGATTTGATGGTTTAAAATTCCATTATTTTTAGTAATAAGGTGAAAATAATAGCTTTAATCAGTTTCTTGAATTCCTTTAATTATATCGTGTTGCATCCATGACTACTTCACATTGAATAATAAGTCCACCAACTTTGTATTGGTTGGAGGTAAGATTTGAACGCCGACTGTATTGTATTCACTACAAAATCATTAAGTCATAAAAATTCCCACACTCCTAAATCTTTAGTAGCCCTGCAATATCTGACTCTGATTTGATCATGTGATTATCGCTATCAACTTATATATATCTACAATCCTAATATATAATCAATGACATAGATTGCGTTAGTGAATAACGGAATTAAATAAGTCAAATACGAGAACCAATTTCGAATACGTGTAGTTCATACAGTCGTTGATTCTGACAAACTATCGGAGAAATGAAGTGAAGAAAGCAAAGAGAGTCAAGCGAAATAAACGCAGTTTTTGACCATACTATCGAATCGGAGAGAGATCACGGTACAACTAAAATGGTGAGCTTTTCTATAATTTCGTTGATAACATCATCATCAGGCCTAATTGGTGACAAAACGAAGGGCCACGAAAGTGATTGATTGTTATAACCAAAGTGGAATGATCCGCCGAAAAGATCAATTAGCAGAATAGACACGAAGACGAAATACCCATAAGATAATACGATTTAAGTATGTCTATGCCGCTGCTTTACTGGCTTTGCTGAATGCGTCAGATTAGAAATTGAGTCGTTTTAATTGCTCGTCTACTAATTCATCGATTCTGTCAGTTGACTTACATGCCTTCTTCATCGAGCGTCATTTTGCTTCGCTCTTCTCTTCGCTTCCTTTGCTTCCTTCCCCTGATTGTCTGTCCAGATCAATGGGTGTACGAAATAGACGTATTCAAAACTTTATTCTCGTGTTTGATTTATTTAATTCCCTTATTCACTAACGTGAGTTAAGCCGATAATTATATGCGAGGACTGGTGACATATATAAGTCGATAACGATAAACACACGATCAAATCGGAGTCATATTCCAGGGCCACTAAAAAATTTCTGGATACGTGCTCACGAACAGTTTTATTAATCAGAATCACAACTCACACGAATTTAACAGTAAGAAAACAAATAGATATGCAAATGAGGTACATAAAGGTACATAGCAGATTAGTAATTCACTGACTGTAATTTATGAAAAGTTTTTAAAAGAAACAAACGACTAATAATTCAACAGAGTTTACAAATAGAGTCTAGACAAAAGTACGATGGAATGAGCATTATATTTAGTCAGTCAGTCGGTCAGTAACAACGTAGAACTTCGTACGTACGTACATCAGTTCGAGTTGCCATACCACATTAGCACAGATATACAATTGCCGATTCAGATCCCGTAGTGGTTGAGGTAGTAAGAGTATAAGCAGTAATCCGAAAGATATTATTCAAGGAGTATAATCTCGTGAAATATATTTGGAAAGAGAAAAAGGGTCATGAAGAGTTCAGGAGATTAGAATTTGGGGGAACACAAGGAGTGGATGCACCTGCTCCCACCATTGCAAACGATTTTGAGCGATGTCATTCAACGTATTTAACCATCGGTTGCTATCATCTCGCGGATTCCAACCAAGTAGTCTACACCTACCAGCATGACTCAGTCCACTTGTCAGTGACTTCATGGATTTGTTCTGGTCTGGCCGCCCCTACCTTTCTTCCGACATACTCCTATACCATTGAACATCACAAATCGAGACTGTCGGTGGTTGGGCATAATTGTAACACATGTCTCAACCATCTCAACTGATGAAGTTTCACTACGTCATCAATTGATTTGCCATCCTTACTTAGTACCCGTTTCCTAACAACTGCATTGCTTACTCGATGGTCTCAGGATATGCGATATGTATACTGGTTTATTGATGAAAAGTCATTCAGTTCACATTTCTCACTATCTTCTCTCTTTTTCTTTGATTCAATGCATTGAAATAGTTCCTGTCTTCCATCAACCAGAAAGTCATTCATAGTATACATAAACGATTTAACTCCTGCGAACTTATTCTATATGTGATTTAGCTAATTCTAAGATCCTATAGTTTGTCCCCAATGAATCATATCCCAACATCATGATTGATTTCTTGTGAATTTGACAAGTATACACTACAAAAATAATGAGTATATTATTCATATTTAATTTATTTAGTGATTCGCATTTCTTTTTTAATAAATGGATTATGACTAGTAATAGACTTCCGAAATTATATTTCATCCTATTCTGGATTCATCAAATAGGTACACCTGAATCTTAGCGCTGATTTCCATGTTGGAACACGAATCCAATATCTTTCACTTCAAACATCAAAGGATTCTACATTGAGTCACTGTATCTGAGTAGTTACTAATTTGTTCAGTGTCTACAACGTTTATATCATTATTAGAAAGGGTCTGAATTGTTCCATTGTTGATATTCAGGGATAATTCAAATCCCTACTAATAAGTGCATATTTTTTCCAACTATCGATTAAGCACATTACATGAATCTTTTTTCTTGATGATCACGTTGGATATCCAACGAAAGTTTTCTTCATTAGTCCAAATAGACATATAAATTCAGCTTATAACCTAAAAAGTTAATTACATTGTAACAGTCATTTAAAGTATATCGCCGGCTTAATGACAACACTTATTAGTTTTAAAAGCACAGACTGACATTAACAAAATAATCAGTGAAAACAAGGACACACTGGACAGTTGTATCATTTTAATATACAACTCTACGGTAAATCACACTCACATAAGAAACATTCATTACCAGTTACATTCAGTTATGACCACTCAATATCATGGCTGAACTGGATTAAGAATATAACCTTGAGATTAAACATTAACTGTGAAGTATTAATAGCCAGAACTCAATCCTCTATGAAGTCATAGATGTACAGTGAGTAGACAACCATTTAATACCATATATAACTGGACAACTAGTTAACCTTAGCATAAAAATTCTCACTAGCCAAATTCAGCTATGTATAGCTACGAAATTTAACAATATCATCAACTTATTGTGCCAAAATAATCTCACAAATACAATATAATGGTAGAGATTTTGATGGAGTTTCGTTCTCTGAGCTGGATGGTTTGGTTGTGGAGCTTCCATGAAATTTATACTGATGATATCGTTCAGAAGAACGATGAAAGCTCCATGACCAAATCATCTAGTTCAGAAAAAAAAACTCCATCAAAATCATCCACCTGAGCTACAAATCTTCTCTACCATCTCAATGACAGAAATGAATGATATTAATTTCATCAACATTGAAAGAATCATAATTCCTTTTATTTTCCTATTTCATATTATTTATCATTTAAAAAGTCATATACGTTTAGAACTCACTTACTCTTAGTTGATACTATCGTTTTATGTATGTTACTAGTATGATGTTAACTTAAATATGACCAATATCGCTTAAAAAATGTTTAAAATGTATTACATTTTTTAAAAAAATAATTGATTTCCATAAAAGTTCAGTTCATCTTCAACATCATCATCATCATGATCATCATCGTCGGTGTCATATGACATATTACTTTAAAAATTAAAGTATTCTATCAATGTACACATACATCTATATATTGATAGAAAAAAAATTCGTCGTTTTCTAGAGTAGATTATCATGTGATCACGATCTAAGTGATGTTCATATTACAAA